GTGTCGGAGATAAGCCCTTTGAATGGATCGGACTGTCGTGTTTAGGAGGTAAGATAACCCTTGTTCCTTGTTCCCTCATTTGTGGAATCAGTTCCAACTGGTCGGGCGTTAGATGCGGCATCGAAACTATCAAACTCTGCTTATGATTCTAAAACGACGTCTAACCTGACATGACCTGACTTGTCAGTCACTTACTGTGATTCTTGTTTCATCTTCAAAATGAGCCTAGGATTTCCAAAATCGGTTGACGTGGAAAAAAGTTATGGCTGCAAAACCAAAAAGTTGATTTTTTGAGATCACTCTGTAAATAAGAGAGATAGGAAGTTGATTCGAGAAATATCTCGAGGTGATGAGATCATCTTCATGCCTCTGTTGTCGAAGTTGAGAAAAAAATTTGTTTCACCATTTGAGAGCCTTTTGAATATTCCGAAATTTTGCACAGTGTCGGAAAACACCATGTAGAGATTTTATGTGAATACCCTTAAATTTCAATGAAGTACCAGATTATAGCTGAAGGACTGGGCTATCGAACAGTGTGAACCAAATTCAAATTGTTCTAAACTGAAAAAAGTTATTCACATTATAACAGGGGCGACATTTTGGTGTGCGACGAAATTAGTGTTGAGTAGTTTAGGTAGGTACCATATCCTCATTATATTGTACATAAATAACTCACCACCAGCAATCATTCATTATTTGAGTATACCTATATTAGAGGCTTAGAATGTCTTACCCTCAATTTCCTGAAATGAGAGCTGATATCGGTTATATTGTTGATGCACCTGAGATGCTTACAATTCAACACAATGAGGTATACCTATCTGGCAAATGATTTTCTATATAACAATAAAGAAAGCTTCACTATTGTTGCAATTGAGATGCTTATATACTCACCTACGATAACAGAACCTCACATAAATTGCTTCATTATCAATCATTATTGCTTGAAATTTCATACCTACTTAAACTTCTTGAACTACAAACAGGACGCTAATGTTGTTGTCGTATCGCCGCCATCTTATTCTTGACTCTTCCATTTAGCCTCTCTCCGGGGGTCCGTATGGTCCTTACCCTAGCCTCGGTACACGGTACCTCGAGTTAGATTGACATGTTAATATTTGCGGGAAGTTCGACAAGTGCAAGTGTTGAAAACATTTCTTTCATTCGTCTGAGGTTGAAAATGACTTCATGTTGTAACATTTTCGAATTATTCTAGAAATACTTTAATTTTGCGATATTTTCAATAAATTGAAAGTAAACATTAGAAATTTGAAATAGAATGATCTCAATCAAATCTGTAAATATATCGAAACTGATGAACCCATGATACAATGAAGTTTTAATGTATCATGGATGAACCTACAGAAAAAAAAAACGAATTATTACCAACCTATTTTCGATTCCAAAACAAAAAATCATAGATAGATTTGAAATGTTCTCAATATAATAACTTTTGGAGATTCAAAACCGGACATGCAATGAATATTCGATACGGAATGATTTTGATCCAGAATAAATAATCATAAAATATCCATAGAACAACGCGTTCAGAATATTCTCAATCGAATGATCTGTGGATATAGGAAACTGAACCTGCGATGAATATTCGATAGAATAATATATAAAAAATCTATAGATATTCTGGATATATTCAGGACATCTATATAATATCTGGATATATATCTTCCAAATCGTACACTGACAAAACATTCCATGAATATCTGGTGCTATCTGGGTATGGCATCAGATACCAATTGTTGGAAATCGAGAGGCAATTACAACAATAATTCTCATAGAACTCTTTCACGAATAACTAAAAACTGACCAATTGAGTAACAATTAGAATGTTGATAATTTTACCATCAGGAAAAGACCTATGGTTTTACTAACGTGTACTTCATTTGAATGTTTATAGAGAAACTTGGCATATACCTCCTAGGTAAGTAACAAACATAATTCCCATTGAGACTTTACTGAGCATTCGAAATTACAACAATAAATCCTATAACAGTCTTTGGTAAGTCCCAAAACGAAGTACCAATAAGTATATAAATGGTTCGTCCTAGCGACTTCTGTGACTTCGCTGGTTTGCTGGGATTATATTAAAATCAGAAAATTATCGACGTGAAATATGAGTGTTGAAAATGAATATTCTCAGATAAATTATGAACATACAAAAATGGATATATATTTATATAAAACAATACATTGAGAATTCGCATTCTCTATGTGATGAGAATATTTACTCTTTTTCAGTTAATTCAATAGAAAACAACTACTTTCCTGGCTATATGCCACGACGAACATTGAATTATATCTATTGAACACACACGATATCGAATCATTAGAAATCAACAAACTCAAAAATGTTGACATTTTACTTAACGATCAATAAGACCTCAATAGTTCACCACTGTTGAATTTGTTTTCTCAGTAGGTAATAATATTTATTTGCTATCATCCCTTTCAAGTTAATCCGGTATACCGTAATTTAATGTAGGTATTGTGCCTGATTTCCGAAAATGGAGGTGTATCGATCCTGTCCACAGGTAATTAATCCTTCAAGTTGGGAAAGTAGGATATATAAAAGTTAAGCAAGCCAACGTTGGTTTATTTCATTGTACCAGTATATCACCTGACGAAGCTACTGTGTTAGCGAAACATATTGTGTGTATAAGAATTTTTTGGAAATCTTATCGTTTGTGAGGTTTTTACATTTGCCATGGATTTCCATCAAGTCACGGCCGAGTCAATTAAAAAAAAAAAAGGAAATTGATATTTGTTTTATGTTATGGACACACTGATTAGGTAGTAGGTACTTGGGTAGCACAGATCATATACGTATACAGTGTGTCCCGCTTTTCATGAACACACCCCTGATATCTCAATTATTGATGGTGCGATTCTCTTGAATTTTTTGTAGTGATTGTATGTTAGAATAAAGAAGTATTTAGCAGAATGAACAGTTTCATTCACCATTGGCGTGCGATGGTGAGGGGTACAAAATAGGCATTTATTTAGGAAAAGGATATTAGGACTCATTTTGAATAACTTGTTTCATCAGATTCATAATCAGCATCGTCAAACACCTCCCAATTCGTATTTTCAAGATCTCAAGAGCTGAAATGAAATATTTCAAAACACCCACAATCTCAGTTATCAATGATGCGATTCTCTTGAAATTTTAATGGTGATTGTATGTTAGAAGAATAACATACAATCACCATCACAGTTTCGAGAAATTCGCATCATTATTAACTGAGATTTTGGGGTGTGTCATGATCGAAAAGCGGGATTTTGAATTTTTCTTGAGATTTTAAAAATATGAATTGGGGGTTTTTGGGGATGCTGATTATGAATCTGATAAAATCGGCCATTCAAAATAAGCACGAACATCATTTTTCCAAATAATGGCCTTTTTTGTACCCCTCAACATTGCACGCCAATGGTGAATGAAACTGTTCACTCTGCTAAATACTTCATTGTTCTAACATACAATCACCACTGAAATTTCAAGAGAATAGCATCATTAATAACTGAGATATCAGGGTGTATTCATGAAAAGCGGGACATATTGTATATCTCTACCAAGGAAGCAAGCTGAAGCCAATTTATTTCACCTCCCACGGTAAATAATATTTTTTCCCACGTGGGAGTGAATTAACGAATTAACAGGTTTGTGTCCTCAAATGAGATAGCAAACGTTTACTCTCTATGCAGTGAGTGGAATAACTCGAACCATGATTTATTAGTAGTGGCATAGTAAGTGCTTACACCCTATACGAAAGAGGCTTCTTTTGCGAGCATTTTTAACAAAATTTCTTCTAGCAGCACGATGTTCGAGCAATAATTTGGAACCTTTTGCAGGTCTCCTAGCTTTAAAATTATCTTCTTTTAGACGTCTACATACCGCCTGCTTACTCACTGCAACATCACGAATTTGGCGAAGATCTTGCTGAACATCTACCGCAGTATTTGATCGATTCCGTAAAATCCGCAATCACAAAAAGCGATCATCTCTTGGAGAAGTTTTTCGGGGGCGACCAGAACCGACCCTCCGAGCGGTGCTTCCTGTTTGTTCGTACTTCGGATTGCTCTACGAGCAGTTGCTTCATGAACTTCCACTACACGAGCGGCGTAACGTTTACTACGCCCATCGTTTACTAACGCAACTAATCTTGCTACTTGTTCAGGATTTATTCGAGGCATTTCATGTAATTTTAGTCAATAAAACAAGACACTTAATTAATGACACTACGACAAATGGTCGAGTATGGAGGCATACAACAAATTAGTTGCTATGGCAACGGCATTTGTTTTTCTAAAGACAATGTGATCCTACCAGAGTACAACCCAAAATTTTGAGTACTCTGATCCTTCAATGAATTTAATTTGTGGGATAAGCGTAAGGTATCAGCAAAAAAGCTGTAACTCGGAAAATTCTAGAGATAAATAAAACAAAATGCTAGCAAAAGAAGCCTCTTTCGTATAGGGTGTAAGCACTTTGTATACCATTACTCAATTAACAATCAGGGTGAGTCAAAAATTAAGAATGAATCATGGTTCGAGTTATTCCACCACCATCAAGGAGGCTTTGAAAAAATATTCACCTCATTATTTTATTTTGATAAAAAAACCAACAAATAAAAAATAAATAAAAATCGGCCTACTATTTTTTGTTTTTTTAAGAAGATAGGTCAAATATCAAGTGCGTCACTTTTTTTGGAACTGAGTGTTTTACCAATGTGGTAACAAATATGTTATTGTTGATCATTTTGGCGAACCCTCGTATAACAGGTATAATATTATCATGACTGAAGGATTAATGGTAATTATTATAAAATGACTGATTGGAAAATAACTGAGCAACAATATATAACCTTGAAAAATATATAGCGCTATCTATGATGGTACGAGCATTCAAAATTGCACAAGAAAATGCATTGTATTTCAACTAAATAGTTCGAAATCCAACTTTGTCTAATCATTATCACTCACAGGTATATAATAATCAAGTCGTGGCAAATCATCGCCAGTCGCTTCGCCATGGGTAAGCTAGCACCAGCTCTAGCTCTAGCTCTATTCCTCGCTATAGTCAGCAATTGTCAAGCTGGAGCCACGACTATCCAATCCTGCGACAGTTTGATTTACTGTCAGGGCCAGTTACTGGACACCGTGCAGAAAGCCCGAATCTACAAGGACTCCAAAACTTTCGTGGATATGATGCAGCTGAACGACCCCAGTGTTACCCTGGAAAACTTCAGGAACTTCATGGAATCTCATAACAATGCACCTACCAGCCAGCAAGTCGCAGAATTCGTTCAACAAAATTTCGCCAGCACCGGTGAGTACGAACTCGCGTGTTTCAGTGTCATCATATCAATATTACCCATATTCTTTTTACCGTGTTACATTCTCACTACTGAGATCAATTGAGTTAGTAGGAGGTGAGACGGATCTGATTTGTCGATTGAATAAAAAGAACACGTTTTTATCTGTCAGGAAGGGCAAGGAATGAAAACATAATGCAACATATAATTCAACCAAAATGTAAAATGGCTGAGTAAATTAATGAGAAGCATAGAAATATCATTGTAGTGAGTATTCAAAGGATTTAACCTGTGGACTGAAACTCCAAAGCTGAAAGCATGTCAAAATGAAAATATAACCTCACAATTTTCAGCACAGAACTACAGAATTACTAGAATTAATCCAGTATATCCTTTTTCTCACTACAACACCATGCAGATAAATAGCAAGCTCAGTTGGGGTGAGGGGGAAGAAATAGTCTCAATAAGTTCTTAAGGAAACTCACATCAGACTAAGATAAATGAAACATGTATATAATACAATTGAGCTATTGAGCTTCACTGAGAATCTTGGTTAATCTCAGTCAAAGTTGGTAAAAAGAATATTACTATTGTAGACTAGGCTAACTTACAAGAAAGCCCTCCGTTAGAATCCTAGAAGCATTTCATGTAACAATTGGATAAATGACGTTAACCCCCTATTTCGACCCCGCCGAATCCGAAAATACCGTTTATCAAGTTGAAATTGCAACCGGAAGTGAGATATTCAAGATGGCGTCCAAAATACCCCTTAAATAAAATTATTTTCTACTTTTGATTAGCTATAGAACGGAGGTGCCGTTGTTTATGTTTCGGGGGGTGTAGAATACGATGAGAGAGCATTAAAAGTTCATCAAACGATACAATTTTAACAAAACGGGCCATATTCCAAAAACACTTGTGAAATCGTATTGTAAGTATATGCTTGCATACGTTTTCGAGGGCGCTTAACATGTTTATGAGCTCAAAAAAGCATTTAAACATTGTCCAAGCCTTTATTTCTTACATTTAAGAAAATAATAATTCACTATCAATAGTCATCATCATCTTATTCTACTCCATTCATGCACTTTGCCTTGCACTTCATATATCATGTTTGACACTGGCCCATGGGGCATTTGTCCGGTTGCTCGCTGCTCCTGCCCGGGCCTGATCTTTGGGGACACAGGGACACATAAAATATCTAGTGTATTCATAGACCACAAACCAGAGATGCGCTAATTCAAAATATTATGACTGCAGCTGCCTCCATACGAGAAAATCCAGACACTCTTCAAAGAGCAACGTCTTAGATAATTGTTACATAAAGAAGAGTAAAAACGTGCTGTTAAGCAGCGGGGGGGGGGCATTTTGAACAGTATAGTTATTTATTATACAAGTGCAATGGTAGATTCTAGCTCCAGCGGAGGGAGTCAAAAAACCGTTAGCTCGAATAATACACTATTTTTTATGTGAGAGGAGAAAAGACGAATCAATATATTGAGAATATATTACATTATGTTGGAAGATTGTAGCTCAAAGTGAAGTGAGAGGGTTCGTATTCAATGAGAAAAGTACAAAGTTATCTCCACTACTTTTTAATTTGAAAACATCAAATTAGGAACATGTTTCGGACATGTGCAATCCATCTTCAGCCTATGCTAAGAAGTTCTACACTACAGGGAGATATATTATATATGAAAATCCTCTTTTAAAACATAACATAACATAACCTTCTCATTTCCATGTGAGTACCACATTTATAAAAATATTTTTCATATATTATGTATCTCTTTGTATTGTAGGACTTCTAAGAATAGGCTGAAGATGGACATAACATATCTCCGAAACTTGTTCCTAATTTGATGTTCTCAAATTAAAAAGTCGTGGAGATGACTTTGTGCTTTTCTCATTGAATACGAATATCACATTATATTAAAATCAGAAAATTGTCGGCGTGAAATTTTAAGTTTCTAAGTAGGGACACCTGCGTTGTAGGCATCTTTATCATTCTTTTGAAGTAATCTGATGCCACTTCTGTCAGTCTAATTCTGTGATTTGATTTAAAAAAATTGCGAATTTAGTGGTTGTAATACGTAATCGCGAAGTCGAATGGAAGATAAAAGGACTTGCAGTTCTTTCTCGCAGACGGTATTATTGACTCATTTTTCGGAACTATTGCACAACAAAAGCCATCAACAGTGTATATATATATGTGATATATATCCGGGGAAAAATACTCACTTTTTTCCCACGAGAAATAAGTGATTTATGAAAAGTGACATTTTATAACCTGCCAACAGAGATGAAATGCCAAACTTTTTTCCCGTCACAGAAAAAAATTATTTATCTCACTTTGTTCTAACTGTGATTTAAAAAAAAATCCTTAGTTTTCTAGATATCTAACAAAATTCATTTTGGTGCTCCTCCAAACTTCTTTATGATTATGACGATTATCATGTTTTGCAACTTTTCACCTCATTTGTGTTGAGTTATTGACCACAATAACCATGTTTATGATCTACTCTAGGATATGATAATGTTTATGGTCATCTTTATTTATTTTTTCTTGAAAACAGTTTTTTTACCAGAAATCCTGAACTAACATTTGGTAATGACCAGCTCCCAAATCTCATGTTGAAGAGCTTGCGAATCAATGAATATGATAATTGTGGTGAATAACTCAACACAAATGAGGTAGAAACAAGCAAAACATAATGATTCTAACATTATAAACGAGTGTATTGGGAAAACATCTAAGAGAATTTTGTTATTTATCTTGAAAACCAAGGGATTTTATGAAAGAATCGCAGTCAGTGTCGTACTCCAAAAAAGTGACAACAATTTTTATCAAAGAGAATGCGAAATACCTAGCTCCCTGTATATTGATTGAATTGGTACGATATGTTTTCCATGCACATTCACTATAGTAAATAGCCCTACGAATTTCAGAGCAGTATCTTTCTATATTCAACATTCTCTTCAAAGAGGCACTTTTGAAAAGCCCCAAGCCATGGCCATCGAGTCACAGGACACACGCATTAACTTGGTATGTATGTTTGTAGGTTTGTATGTTTGTATGTAACGCGGACTCTACAAACGTGAACACCTACTTTAAAACGTCAAATTGAGTTTTTTTTCATTATCCTAATTAGGATCTTCAGAATGAGTCATTTTGTTCCTCGACTAAAATGGCGAATGTTGTTTCACCACCAAAATCTCAGAATGTTCCTTTACCAAATATTCAAGTGTTCCGTTTTCCTCCGAAAAACTTCACAATGTTTTTTTATATCTAGAGACACGGCAGTGTCTTGCACCAAGCACTCGTATGAACACTGATATCCCGAGAGACAGGTGATTTTGACCCACTTCAAAACGTAGAATCGAATTGAAACTTCGCACACTCAACAAAGACCGATGACAATAGCATAAATTGATAGTTTTCTTCCTGATCAGGATTCTCAGGATTCTCAGGATGAGCCATTTTTTTTCTGGACTAAAATGGCGAATGATGTTCCACCACCAAAATTCAGAATATTCCTTCACCAAATATTCAAATGTTCGTTTTTCGAGGAGGAAAAATTCATTAAATCGGAAAATCAAGTAAATAGTTGTTCTGAAATTGATTTCATAAGTCAGCTCTCCTCAGGGTTGATGAAATAACAATAATCAGAATTAGTACAATCAGGTAGATCATCTCATTGATCCAATGGATCAGACATCATTACTGGTGTCATTGAAATGAATTATGAATGAATGGATTCGTTAATAGTATGATGAAAATCGTCACCGATAATAATAATGCGTCAAAATATGGATGTTAGTGAATTGGACGTCCTGTTTTCGAATCTGAAGTGATTTCCAACAAAATCTTATCTCTTGATATCATTTTCCGGAAATGTGTGTGTATACTGGTACCATTATATCACCTGACGAAGCTACTGTGTTAGCGAAACATGTCGTGTGTTTGAGAATTTTGTGGAAATCTTATCGTTCGTGAAGTTTTTACATTTGTCATGGATTTCCATCAAGTAACGGGCGAGTTGATTCAAAATTTTATATCATACTTCCCAAACCTTAAGGATTGAAATTACCTGTGGAGGTTACTCAAAACTCAGTGAGTTGAAAGGTATGATATAAAAGTTATGCAAGTCAATGTAAGTTCAGTGTATTGTACGAGTATTTCACTTGAAGAAGCTACTGTGTTAGGGGAACATGTCGTGTTATTAACAATTTTGTGTAAATCTGATCGTTTGTGAAGGTTATTACATTTACTATGGATTTCCATCAAGTAACGGCAGAGTCAATTCAAAATATTATATAAGTGAGCTAGAAAACGGAGCCTCTCTTGTCATGTAACATTGATGTGTGTGTTTTCGCTTTTCGAATCCAAAAACTGTTGTCCTTGAAAGTTTTTTCTCGTCCCGTTTCGGAACTCGTGGATTTCCTTCCTTCCTTCCTAGGTGAGCTAGACAACTGGACCCCTAGCGACTTCAACACCAGCCTGAAGTTCCTGTGCTTGTCATCTGTGTTTTCGCTTACCAAATAAAAAAAATTCGTCTTGGAAAGTTTCTTCTCATTCCGTGAAATTTAACTTTCGGAACTCGTTACGTGAATTACTATGCCTTTCGCCTTCTTGTAAGTGAGCAAGACAACTGAACCCCTAGCGACTACAATAACAGCCCAGAGTTTCTGAGGAGAACCAAGGACGTGACAGTGCGAGATTTCGCCAGGCAGCTCGTCTCTATCTGGCCAACCCTTTCCAAGAAAGTCAAACGCTCCGTGGCTCGAAAATCTTTCAATTTCGAGAATAAAACTCGGAATCTTGAAGAAAAATCTCATCATTTTGAGATTTTGACTCATGTGACCTAGCCAACTGGATCACTAACAACTACAACACCAGCCCGAAGTTCCTGTGCTTATTATGTAACATTGGTATGTGTGTTTTTCGCTTTTTGAATCAAAAAAATGTCGTCCTGGAAAGTTGTTTCTCATCCCATGTAATATCACTTTCGGAACTTGTTACGTAAATTACAATTCCCTTCCGATTCTTGTAGGTGAGCTAGACAACTGGACTCCTGGCAACTACAACACCAGCCCGAAGTTGTTGTGCTTGTCATGTAACATTGATGTGTGTTTTTTCGCTTTCCAAATGAAAAAGAAAATGTCATCCTGGAACGTTTCTTCTCATACCGTGAAATTTAACGTTCGGAACTTGTTACGCGGATTACTTTTTCCTTCTACTTCTTATAGGTGAGCTAGACTAACTGGACCCCTAGCGACTACACCACCAGCCCGAAGTTCCTGAGGAAAATCAAGGGCGTGACAGTGCGAGACTTCGCAAGGCAGCTCCTCTCCATTTGGCCCACTCTCTCCAGGAAAGTCTCTCTGTGGCTCTGAAATCCTTCAATTTTGAGAATAAAACTCGAAATTTCGAAAAGAAATCTCATTATTCCGAGATTTCGACGAAATACAATGAAAGAATTGTGACGGTAATACGCCATCGTGATTTCAAGTGGTTTCAAAGTAAAATGAAGTTTTTTATCCTTTCCACTCCTTCTTATGTGACCTAGACAACTGGATCACTAGCAACTACAACACCAGCCCGAAGTTCCTGTGCTCATTATGCAACATTAGTATGTGTGTTTTTTGCTTTCCAAATCCAAAAAATGTCGTCCTGGAAAGTTTTTCCTCATCCCGTGTAATATCACTTTCGGAACTTGTTACGTGAATTATAATTCCCTTCTACTTCTTGTAAGTGAGCTAGACAATTGGACCACTAGCGACTACAAAATTAGCACGAAGTTCCTGTGCTTGTCATGTAATATTGCTGCGTTTTTTTGCTTTCCAAAATGAAAAAATGTAATCTTGGAAAATTTCATCTCATTCCATGATATTTAACTTCCGGAACTTGTTACGTGAATCACTATTCCCTTCTACTTCTTGTAGGTTAGCTAGACAACTGGACCCCTAGCGACTACACCACCAGCCCAAAGTTCCTGAGGAAAATCAAGAATGTGACAGTACCAGACTTCACCAGGCAGCTCTTCTCTATCTGGCCAACCCTCTCCAGGAAAGTCAAACGCTCCGTGGCTTTCAAATCTCCCAATTTTGAGAATAAAACTCGGAATTTTGAAAACAAATCTCTCTACTCCTTCTTATGTGTCCTAGACAACTGGACCACTAGCAACTACAGCCCGAAGTTCCTGTACTTGTCATGTAACATTGTTGTGTGTTGTTTCGCTTTCCAAATGAAACGAATGACGCCCTGGAAAGTTTCTTCCCAATCCGTGAAATGCAAAGTTCCAAACTTGTTAGGTGAATCATCATTCGTGTTTCATCTATGCTATTCCCTTCTACTTCTTATAGGTGAGCTAGACTAACTGGACCCCTAGCGACTACACCACCATCCCGACGTTCCTGAGGAAAATCAAGGATGTGACAGTGCGAGACTTCGCCAGACAGCTCATCTCCATCTGACCCATTCTCTCCAGGAAAGTCAACAGCTCTTTGGCTCTGAAATCTTCCAATTTTGAGAATAAAGCTCGACATTTCGAAAAGAAATCCCATCATTTTGAGATTTCGACGAAATGCAATAAAAGAATTGTGACAGTAACACGCCGTCGTAATTTCAAGGGGTTTGGAATTGAAATGAAGTTCTTTTTCCTTCTACTCCTTATACTTCTTATGTGACCTAGACAACTGGATCACTAGCAACTACAACAACAGCCCTTAGTTCCTGTACTTATTATGTAACATTGGTATATGAGTTTTTCGCTTTTAGAATCAAAAAAATGTCGTCCTGGAAAGTTTTCTATCATTCCGTGTGATATTACTTTCGGAACTTGTTAAGTAAATTGCAAATTCCATTTACTTCTTGGTAGGTGAGCTAGACAACTGGACCACTAGCGACTACAACACCAGCCCGAAGTTAATGTGCTTATCATGTTACATTAGTGTGTGATTTTTCGCTTCCAAATTCAAAAAATGTCGCCTTGGAAAATTTCTTATCAGCCCGTGAAATTCAACTTTTGGAACTTATCACGTAAATTAATATTTCCTCCTTCTTCTTGTAGTTGAGTTATAGACAATTGATGGAGCCTTATAGCGACTACAACTCCAGCACAAAGTTCCTATGCTTGTCATGTAATATTGGTGTGTGTTTTTTTGCTTTTGAAATTCAAAACAATTTCGTTCTGGGCAATTCCTTCTCATCCCGTAAAATATCACTTTCGGAACTTGTCACGTGAATTTCTATTCCCTTCTACTTCTTGTAGATGAGCTAGACAATTGGACCCCTAGCGACTACAACACCAGACCGAAGTTCCTTGTGCTTCTCATGTAATATTGGTGTGTTTTTTTGTTTTCCAAATTAAAAAAATTGTCGACTTGGAAAGTTTCTCCTCATCCCGTGAAATTTAACTCATGCTACTTTTTTATTTATCGCTTGGAACGCACGAAAGGGAATCCCCATAATGTTCAAAGAACATCGTGCGTTCCTAGAGGGGATAGGGAAGGGAGGTAGGTATTAGAATTTTTTTTGAACTTTTGGAGATTATATGTTGTTGGGAATACTTCCACAGACAATGAATTCCAGAGCCTAGCCGTTCTATGGATAAAGGAGTCTTGATAAAGTGCTGTTCGACATCTTTCGAGGTTGACAACGAAAGGATGTGCTGACTGGGCATGTCTAGTTCGTCTGATTGGTATTGCTAGTGAAGGGATGATAGAAGAGATTTCCGAAGAACATTTCCCGTGGAAGTATCGATAGAAAAGTGAAAGGTCGCCGACCTTTCTACGGTGTTCCAATGATGTCAAAGAGTGAGTGAGTGTGGCGTCACCCACCAGGCGAATGGCTCTTCTCTGGATGGAATCTAAGAGCATCAGCGTATGTTTTGGTGCTGAACCCCATATGTGGAAACAGTATTCTAGAACAGGCCGTATCTGCGCTTTGTAGATCATGAGAAGCTATTGAGGTGTAAAGTAGCTTTTCGCGCGGAACAAGAATCCGAGTTTTTGTGAAACAGCTTTTGCGATGGATCTGACATGATTATCCCATGAAAGAGTGTTTCTGATGGAAATACCGAGCATAGATATGGTGGGCTTGGTGGGGATGGTGGAGCCAGACATTACAATATCGGGCATACTGAGTTCCGACTTTCTAGAGAAAATGCAGGCTTGAGTTTTGGTGGCGTTGAATTCAACTAGGTTGTCTGTTCCTCAGGCTGTGATTTCAGCAAGATCTTCATTGACAGCATTGACCTGCCTGCGCCGTGAGTTCTCATTTTCCTGGGATGAAATAGGAATTCTGGAAGAGAACGCAGTATGGAGGGTACTATCATCTGCAAAGCTGTGGATGAGGCAAGTTGTTACTCCCAACAGATCATTAATATGGAGCAGGAATAATGTTGGTGCCAAAATTGATCCTTGTGGAACGTGTTACGTGAATTACTATCCCCTTCTACATCTTGTAGGTGAGCTAGACACAACTGGATACCTAGCGACTACAACACCAGCCCGGAGTTCCTGTGCTTATCATGTAACATTGGTGTGTTTTTTGCTATCCTAATGAAAATAAAGGTCGTCCTGGGAAGTTTCTTCTCATCCCGTGAAATCCAACTTTCGGAACTTGTTACGTAAATTACTATCCCCTTCTACTTCTTGTAGGTGAGCTAGACAACTGGACCCCTAGCGACTTCACCACCACCCCGAAGTTCCTGAGGAAAATTAAGGACGTGACAGTGCGAGACTTTGCCAGACAGCTCGTCTCCATCTGGCCCACTCTCTCCAGGAAAGTCAACAGCTCCGTGGCTCGCAACCCCAGCAGACACTCTCTCATCCCCCTGCCGAACGGTTTCGTAGTGCCAGGAGGCCGCTTCAAAGAGATCTACTACTGGGACTCCTACTGGATCGTCAAAGGTGAGATTTATTTATTCATTAATTGAAGTCATATAGGAGGATGACAACAGGCATAACCCAAAGTATTATCCACGGATACAGTTGAGCGTACAGAAAAAAATATACAGATTACAATTTTCGCTTAACCTAACACTACTTCAAGAAACATTTGATGTTAGCTATGAAATTAAGTATTTCTCTTTTATTTTCGATTATTTGAATACAAGTAGTAAATGATTGAATAACTCAATATCACCGAACTTATCATTGTAAACTGTCACCATTCTATGTATGGGAGAGTTTTTTCCTAGGTTTGTTCTGCAAAACGTTTCAGAGAAGAGACGAGTATTCTTCAGAGAACGAGTTGGAACATTGATATATATATTCGACTATTCCACTCTTGATCTCGAGAACCAATCAGAATCGTCCATTTTATCGGACTTGCTCTACCAATACAGAAGCCGAATTGACCCACACGCGACCAACAAACCTCGTTTATTATCAGCGATGAAATTTTGACATCGTGTCTGGTCAAGATTGCTTTGGATTCAAATCTGAGACAATAACCTAAGTTCCTACTTTATTTTATTTACTAATAATTCGCGTTAGTGAGACATTTTGTACGAAAGGCAAGACAATTTTATTCTGGCTGGACGTTTCATATGTAATTTAAAAAGTTTGCATATTTGTTGACGGTCTGACACAACAATACTAGAATTCAAATTCCTTTTTAAAGTAATCTTCTTCAATTACTCAAGTTATCGTTATTGTTATATTACTGATTTAATTACCAGATGATGTAGCGCAACTGATAGGGTTGTTGCGCGAAGATACGAAGGTCGATGGTTCGTGCCCCTCGGCGACGATATCTTTTTTTTTTTCAATTATTTCATGTCATATAAATTCAATTTATTTCGTTTGAATTGGATAGCAATTATATACACTCTTTTGAGAGCAACCTTCTCCAAGATAATGAAAGCAAATACTGTTTATCAAAATTGTACATTCCACTTTGTGAATGAGTATATGTAGGTAGGTAGTTAATTTCTGAAGAAGTGAATTCTGTATTTCATTACTATCATTATGTTCTTCTTCGCAGTTCGAGTTGGAGTATACTTAATTTATGTTTCCTATTTCTATATATATTGTCTCATTAAATCATGAAATAGTCATACGAATACAACTCGTGATACTATAAATTTCCTAGAAATATTCGTCAACTGACATACTCCAGCTTGCTGCTCAAATTTCGCTCATGACATTGATCCAAAATATTTGATTTGATAAGAATGTCATTCACGAAATTACTAGGCAACAAGCTGTCGTATCAATCACCGAATAATTTCAGGAGAGTCGATTGAGTCATTCATAATTTCGAATAAAAACAATATGTCGGATTGCTCTCGACGAGCCTCTAGTGTGACCATATGAAATTTGTTTCTCAGGAAGGCTGTACTAGTTGTAATATCAAATTCCCCACTATTTCTATATTCAAGATATCTTAAGAATTATTCTGTATGATATCCAATCTAGTCTTGTATATAGCGTATTGTGGTCGCCAGATAAAATTTGCGTGATTCAGTTTACTGTATACAAAGGAGTAGAATAAGGTTTTCATGGCATAGAGAGATGTGAAGTTTCTGCAATGTCTGATTATGAATCCTAATGTTCTATTACATTTTGATACAACATAATCAATGTGAGTTGAGAATGAGAGTTTTTCGTCTAGTATCACACCTAGGTCTTTTATTCCATTAACTTCTTTGAGATGGTTAGGATAATGATAGAACTAAGTAGATGGTGCGCGTATTCAGCCATTTTTACGTATTGAAAACTTAAGGAAAATCACTCGATCGCCTACTATGATTTTTCTACGTCACATCGAGCGAGTCGTTGATTCTACATTTTTCCGCTAGATAGTGATGCTACTATTGCTCTTGTGACGAGTGGAAAAAAACTGGCAAATGGCATTTTAGGTACGCGGAACATATGTAACAGTGGGTTATTTTACTCTACATTCGAGAAATCTGCGGCAATTTGAAAATTGACAGATGTCATAATTGTGCAATGCCGCCATCTATCCGAAAACCGCTAAATGCATTGTTCTCGGGACTCTCGGGAGGTCGACAAGAATTTCTGCAACAAAAACGCATCAGTGAGTCACCATCTACTTATTTCCATCATTGTTATGATACTAGAGTCTAGCCATAGCTCCTTAGCGAGGTAATATTGCGCCTGGCTGGCTGCTCGCTGGGCGCGAGACAGAAAACCAAGTGTTTGGGATTCACTTTTAGCATCTGATCTCACGTGATTTTCCCAAGGAAGGTTATTGCTGATAGTAATACCAAGCATCGAAATGAATGTCTTCAAAGGTGTATAATTAGTCCTGACATGCTTATGTTTGGCACAGTAAGATCGGCTTTTCTAGAGAAAAGGCTTGCTTGTGTTTTGTTTGCATTGAAATCTACCAAATTATTGGATCCCCATTCGAGAATTGTTGCCAAGTCCATATTTATGTTGTCAACATTTTTCCCTCGTTCGTTTCTGATTTGCCTGGCTGGTATTGGAGCCCTGGAAGAGAAGTCGGTATGGAGGGTACTATCATCCGCGAAGCTGTGCACTGAACATGAAGTTGCTCCCAACAAATCATTGATATGGAGTAGAAAAAGTGTTGGTGCTAGAATTGATCCTTGCGGAACACAGTATTTATGGTAAGAAAATCAGATGAAACTCCGTCGACCACTACATGGAGATACCTGTTTGAGAAAAAATTAGCTAGCAGAGATAGCTGGGGAGGCAAGCCATAAGATGAAAGCTTGGCGAGGGGTCCGTGTTACCAGACTCGATCGAATGCTTTGGAGATATCAAGTGCCACGACTAAGGTTTCACCATATTTTTCATTAGATTGCTGACATATATGTGAGACGTAAGCGAGCAGGTCAACAGTTGATCTCTGAAGACGGAAGCCTATCGTTGATAATACCTGAATGTTACAGGTATTTAATGAGCTCGATGTTGATAGCTTTCTTCATGATCTTTGAAATAATAGATAGCAGTGCGATCGGCCTGTAGTTGCTAGGTAGGGTCTTTTTGCCTTTTTTAGGAACTGGTTGTACTCTGGCAATTTTCCAGTTGGACGGGAATATCCCCAATTTGTAAGAGTAGTTGAACAACTTGCAGAAAACAGGTTTTAGTTTGGGAGCACATTTCTTGAGAACAATCGGTGGGATTCCGTCGGAGCCACAAGCTTTGTTGGTGTTGAGACCCAATAAAATCTTCCTTATAGTACGTTGGCGAAAGTTGATCTCGGGCATATCACTGTCAATTGGCGTTATGTTTGGAGGTTTTTTCCCGATGAATCCAGAGTGGAATTTCCAGCAAATGAATGTGCAAAAATGTTGGCTTCCTTCTGGATAGTTGTGGCTAGTGGTCCATCTTCCTTGGTTAGAGGAGGAAACGAGCTGGAAGTGAAGTTTTCGTTTTCTTCATACAGCTTTGGCAAAGGACCAAAATTTTGATCTTATTTTGGCATTATGAGCATCCTTTGATGATCGAATTGTCCCATTGCATATGCCTCTAGCCTCGACATATTCTGCTCTAGTCTTAGGGCTTGAATTTTTTTTCCATCGATGAAATGCTGCCTGTTTGGAAGCGACAGCTCTAGAGCAGTTTCTACTGAACCATGTTTTATCGGAAGATGTACTTCTTGCAGTGTACGGTATGTAGGTTCGCATCCCCGACATGATGATTTCAGAAATTGTCTCAGCACATCGTGTTGGATCTGCTGAGGAGAAACAAACTCTCTTCCATGGGAACGCTGTGAAAAAAATACGAAGACCGTCCCAGTCGGCCGAATTGTAATGTCACATGAGACGGGTAGGAATTGTGGTGCTGGAAAGAGCAGGTTGTGGAGATGAGGGTGTGATCAGAGTTTCCAAGTGGGGCACAAACTTCTTTTCCATATGGATCAGGATTGCTGGTGAGGAAAAGATCTAGTGTATTGGCAGAATGGTTGTTGACATCTAGAATGCGGGTTGGTAGTTCGACTAGTTCTAGACCGTGAGTGAAGGCGAAGGCCTCAGTTTGACGACCTGCATCATCTGTTTTGTTAGAGAATCTGAGCCAGGCTGCGTTGTGTACATTGAAGTCTCCCATGATAATGATTTCAGCTGTTGGATGGTTCTCCAGTCCAGTTTTAGTGATGAAATCTCAAAGAGGTTGTTATATTCATTATCATTAGGCGATAGGTAATGGCAGCATATAAATTTGGTCAGTTTGGTATCGACTAGCTTAAACCACATCACATCAAAGTCTTTCGGTTCCAAACTCTCTATACCCTGACATGAAAGGTTAGCTTTGAGGAACTTACTTCCTATAGGAAGTGCATGATTACACTATTTGAATTTCTGTCAAAGGGCTCTTGATCAGCGAGATGTCCCAGACTGTCAGAGGCGTCCTGGAGAACTTCCTATCCCTAGTGGAACGATACGGGTTCGTACCTAACGGAAGTAGAGTGTACTACCTCAACCGCTCCCAGCCGCCTCTGCTCTCCCTGATGGTAGGCCTCTACATCGACGAGACCAACGACCTGAAGTGGCTGAAGAGGCACATTAGAACTCTGGAGGAAGAATTGGAGTGGTGGCTGAGCAACAGGACGATCGTGGTGAAAAAGGACGGGGTGGAACATCGGTTGGCGCATTACGCGTGCGAGAGTGGCACCCCGAGGCCTGAATCGTACGCAGAGGATTTGAGGACTTGCGAGAGCCATGCTGATAAGGTGGGTTGTTGGCAGCGTTGCTGTTATCAGATTGTTCAAATACCCCTGAAATGAACCAAAAACACTCACACTTTGCTCACACCACAGCAATTATTCTATATTTATGCTTTTCCTACAGCTTTTACCCACTTTTTGCTTTGACCACCGTAGATACCGGCACTGACATAACTACTATATCTAGACCGCTCCATGTCATTTCCCTAAAACAGCTTCTGCTCAATGCACAGTAACCTCCAAACCAGAGCCGTTCATGACGTCGATCATCGAATCATGTTCGTTGGTGAAGAGCGAGTAAGATATTTGACAGATAGTAGTTTATGTCAGTGGGTGTATGCCACAAATAACACGAGTTGTGACATTATGTCTATGTCATATGTCACACGGTCACTCTAGGTCACAACAGAACAAGTCTACAGAATTGTTATTCTGAGATTTCATCAGTTTCACAGAAAATTTGAGTGAGGAATATACCTCATCAATTAAAAGCAACTTCAAATCATTAGGCATCAGTCATTATTTTTTAGAATTTTCAATACTTGGAGTGGGTGATTGGAATGCTCACAAAATGCTCACTAAAGGTCAATGCTGACAGTTTTGCCCCATACATTCTGAAATGCTCACCTATGTGAGCAAATGATCACACATCGGCAACGCTGGTTGTTGGGTAGCGTCTGGGGAGTATAATTGCAATGAATTTCAGAGTGGTGGGAGAAGTGCAGCGTTGCTAGTTATCGCTTTTTCGTTCGAATCCGAATACTAGCGCCTAGAGACAAGAGGTAACAAATATAATCAGCGCGGCAAGTGCGCGTACAGCGACTAAATTCTTTCTTCATACTACCACATTTATTACGACTCGTGGCGTAGGTGACTGTGCGTTTTGGGTTCCACGTCGGTGACCCGGGTTCAATGCCTGCCACGGTCGGCTTTTTTAAATTTTGTTGTCTCAAGTGATTTTTCGAAAATTATAATTTTTGGGAAGAAGGTTCATTTAGGCCGATAAAGGTTGGATGGTTTTGAAAAAGTAGTGTCATTTTCATGCAGGAGGGATATTTTCCTTTCTCCCTTGAAAAACTGCTGTCTTTTAGAAAGGAGGTTCATTCAGGCCGAGTAAAGTTAGATGCTTCCTTCTGGAAAAAAGTACTGTGGAGTCATTCACTATAGAGAAATAGTTTTGACAACATTATTTTGTAGAATAAAGGTTTCTTCCATGTGCATTCATGAAAATGCTATTTTCTTCTTTTTGGGTTTATCCTATCAGTTCAAGATCATTGAAGTACTTTCTTCCTCAAGTTGAAGAAAATCAGCACAATCTGGCAACATTGATATGACTGACACGGGATTACGCGAAGGGCCCACCAGTTACCATCGCTCGATGGTAACGGCCCACCACTATTCCATTTTATGACGCAGACTCCGCATACGCAAGTGGTTTGTTATTTGGTGCATCGCCTTATAGACTAATCTAGACCGCCAGTTCTATAAAGAAAAAGGTGAGCCACTCAGGAGATCGAATCGAACTGGTGAAACTGAGTCATGCATCATACCACTTTGAGATATGGATGATTTTCATGATTTTTAATACAAGTTAAGTTTTTGTAAAGACCATTTGGAGACACCCTGTATATTTTTCCAGGAAACCTGCTACAAGAACCTCAAAAGCGGCGCTGAAAGCGGCTGGGACTTCTCCTCCCGCTGGTTCTTCGCCCCAGACGGCGCCATCTCCCCTAACCTCACTCTCATCGACACCAAGCGCGCCATCCCAGTCGAACTCAACTCCTACCTCTGCAAGGCCTTCAGGGAACTCTCCCACTTCCACAAACTCCTCGAAGACGAAGTCAACGCCTTCAAATGGCTCCAAAGGCACGAAACCTGGAAGCGATCCATCGAAGCAGTATTCTACAACGAAACCGACGGGATTTGGTACGACTTTGACTCGCTGCAGCAGCAGCACAGGCGAGGCTTCTATCCCAGCAACTTAGCTCCACTTTGGGCAGAAGCCTACGATGCTCTGCAGAAAGACAGCCTTGGCAGGAGAGCAGCGGAGTATTTGCGGTCCAACGATATAACTAGCTTCCAAGGGGGCATTCCTACTTCCCTGCTGCACAGTGGGGAGCAATGGGACCTGCCTAATGCCTGGCCTCCATTGCAGGAGATCGTGATTTTGGGGCTACAGAGGACCGGGAATGCAGACGCTGGTGATTTAGCTAGGATTTTCGCTGAAAGGAGCGTCAATGCTTTCGTAACTGGGTATACCAAGCACCGGGAGATGTTCGAGAAGTACGATGCTCTGCACGTGGGGGAGTTTGGGGGTGGGGGCGAGTATGTGGTGCAAAGCGGGTTCGGTTGGAGTAACGGGGTGGCTTTGTCGCTGATTGATGCGTTTTATACGTCGAACGCTAAGAAGAATGTGCGTGCCAGATAGATGTGAGAACATTTAACGGATTGCTCCTGAACGATCTTTCTCAAAAAACGAAAGTGTGTGAACCTTTAAGAGTGCATACCTATCAAGGAAAGCGTATGCAGAATATTCCTGCCAGTAGTGGCTTGGCACCATATGTGGATTGGCGGTATATCACACTTGCACATGGCCTCACAATAAATATCAAGTATACCCAGACCGCTTATAGCCTTCTCGAAACGTTTGATATATTCATCTCACAGTCACAGCTCATATTGTATAAAAAACTTCAACAGCACATGATAATTCTTTTCTTGAGTTTTATCTTCTCTAATTTTCATTATCATCATCGAAAAACAGAAAAATTCTGGAAACATTCATCAGATCTTATAATATTGATATTCTTATATTCTGTTTGTTCCATTAATTTTTAGATTCGTTATTATTCTTCAAAAGAAGCTGTGAAACGAATTTGTTCAAGTTAACTCCATAGTATGACCACTCTGCAAAAATATATTGAATATTTTCGTATTTGTTGTTCTTCAATTCCTTCATCAGACATGTGTACCTAGCTCTAGACTTACTTGCGTTTAAGATGGCTACAAGGGACCTTGCGTTTCTCTAGATACCTATCAATAAACCTTTATTGACGATCAAAATATAATTCAAGTACTATACTTGTGGTTTTTGCAGTACCTGGTGGGAATAATGACGAATAATCATTAGTTATTATTTCTTTTCGCAATCCAATCACAAGATGCATAAAAAATAAAACCATGAAATCTCGAAACAAACTACTCGAGAACGAAACCATCAACGCTTTCAAATGGCTACAAAAGCACGAAACCTGCTAGATAGACATTTATCAGAAATGCGAAGTGTGTGAACTTCAAAAAGTACATACTCACCTAACATAGCGTATAGAGAGTGTTTCAGAGGTGTGAGCCAGTAGTAGCTCGTTACCACGTTACCTCACCATGTGTGTAGGCGATATCACACTTTCATGCACATGGCTTCAGAGTGACTTACAATCCAACCCATTGGAAAAACTGCTCACAGCCTCAGTACCATTCTCCAGACTCTTGATATATTCCACATACAGTCACAGGTAATATAAAAAAATAAATAATTTAACTGCACATGACATTTTACTCCTTGAATTTTGCTTCCGCTAATTTCCTATATCGTCGAAAAACTAGCAAAAACCACGGAAAACACTGTTAACAGATATTATATTCGTATTTTTGTCGTTCCATCAATTCCAGATTCGTTTTCATTCCCTAATAAAAACTGTGGAACCGGTTTGGTCAAGTTCACTTCTCAGTATATGACCATCATTTATTCATTTCGCAAAAATGAGTTGAATATTTCCGTTTCTGTTGTTCTTCAATTCCCTCTGATAGCTGAAACATTATGACATACTATCATTATACCTACCTGTAGAGTTACTAGCGTACCCTCCAATCAATAAATAATTATTCACAACCAAAATATAATGTGAGTACTATATATTTGTGGTTGTTACAACCCAGTGAGAATAATGACGGAGGTTTCACTCATGCACCCCAATCACAAGATTTTTCGAAAATGAAACAGTGGAAACTCAAAAGTGTTAAAGTTAAACTCTCCCAGTTTCACAAACACAAATGGCTGCGAAGTCACGAAACCTGGAAGCGATCCATCGATGCCGTGCTTTACAACGAAGCACTCGGGATTTTGTACGATCCCGGAAGGTACGACAGTGCTCCAGGCACCCGAGCGAGGCTTGTGTAGGTGGCGCCTCCACTCCTTATATCAGGGTAGGTCAGGCACGACATTTGACTTGCACTTACAGCAACAGGCACCCCCCCCTCTCTGGGCAGAAGCCTACGATGCTCCACAGAAAGAGCAGCGGAGCATTTACGTTCTTAAATATATAACTACTTACCAAAGGGGTATCTACACTTCATTGCTTCATAGTGGGGACTTGCCTTATGCCTGGCCACCATTGCAGGAGATCGTGATAGGAGCCGAGTGTCGGAAGTACTTGGATATGTACATGATGGAACTTCAGGGGGACATCTAGGAGTGCGGAAGACACTGCAGCGGGTACGAGAGCGGTTCTACTGGGTGAACTGCAGTGACGACGTCAGGGAGTGGTGCCGTAAATGTAACGTTTGCTTTGCCAGCAATGGGCCTCATCGTAAACCAAGGGCACCCATGAGGCAGTACAATGTTGGAAGCCCTTCCGAGAGGATTGCCATGGATATTGCGGGGCCGTTTCCAGTGACTGATAATGGAAATAAATACATCCTTGTGTGCATGGACTACTTCATCAAGTGGGTGGAAGCGTATGCGATCCCTAACCAGGAAGCCGTAACTGTCGCCGATGTCTTAATGAATCAACTCATCAGTCGTTTTGGGGTGCCATTGGAACTTCACTCTGATCAGGGCCGGAACTTCGAGAGTGAAGTGTTTAAGAAGATAACCGAGAAGTTAGGAATCAAGAAAACAAGAACAACTCCATTGCATCCACAGTCAGATGGCATGGTGGAGCGAATGAACCGAACCATAGGGAGGTATCTCTGCAAAGTCGTTGATCAACACCAACAAGACTGGGATCAACATCTTCCTCTCTTCTTGATGGCCTACAGATCTGCGGTACAGGAATCTACAGGACAGACTCCGGCGAAGGTTCTATTTGGACGAGAGATGAGGCTTCCCTGTGACTTGGTCTTCGGATGTAGACCTGGTGAGGACATAGTGGGGGAAGATCACGTTACGAATCTGATGAAATAGATGAACGATATTCACGAATTGGTTCGTTCTAATCTGAAAATAGCCAGCGATCGCATGAAAGACCGGTACGACATCAGAGCTGGGGGTGCAGGATACGCAGAAGGAGACCTGGTGTGGTTGTACAATCCACAAAGGAAACGAGGTATTTGTCCAAAACTACAGAGATCTTGGGAAGGACCTTATATCGTCAAGAAAAGATCAACGATGTCATCTACCGCATCAGTAAAGAACCCAGTGGCAAACCAAGAGTCGTTCATTTTAAAAGACTGGCACCATTCAAGGGAACACAAGATCAACAAGTTCAACAAATTTGTCCGGAAGAAAAGGAGCTCACATTCGACGAATTCATTGGGACATACAGTGGTTCATCAAAAGCAAGATTTGGCGTCACCAAGGAAGAGCACCGCGACCTTTTTTCCATTCCTGTAGAATACGCACTAGCTCACTGCGTCGCCGAGGATCTTCAGATGTCTCAAGGAATAGCGAACAAGTTCATGAGGAAGTTTGGGAAGTTAGAGGAGCTTCGTCAACAAGGTCTCTCCGTTGGTCGAGCACTAGAAATAGAAGATATCAGCGCTGAAGGAAAAAGGTCTGTGTTTTATCTTATAACGAAAGCAAGATCTTCTGAGAAACCCACTTACAAGGACCTCTGGGAGACGCTAGTCGACTTGCGAAGCACCATACTCGAGAAGGACATACAGAAGATAGCTGTTCCAAAGCTGGGGTGTGGACTGGATGGCTTGAATTGGAGAGTTGTAAGGAACATGCTGGAGGTTGTATTTAGATTCACCGGAGTTGAAATTCTGGTATGCTGCTGGAACTCCAAGGGAATTCCAAGAGAGAAGACAGTGCCATGCTATTTCTACCATACTGCACGTTGTAAAAATGAAACCAGTTGTCCCTATCTTCATAACGATCGGAGTGCATTCCAGGAGGAATGCGTTTCAAGGAGGGGGCAGTGTAATGATATTCCCGTTGAAGGGGCTTTAGAAACATCAGCAGGAAGGCAGGAGTACAACGATCATCCTGTATCACGCATCCCAGATTGCTCTCCTACCTCCCAATGATTCCTACATGCACTAGCATATTTCCGAACACTCAATATATTCCGCGGTGACAGATAACGTCACAGAAGATTCTGGAATGTTCTGGAAACAATCGATGGAACATCTAGAGAGAGAGAGGTTTGTTCTAAGCATATACGTATTAATAAACTTCTAAGAAGCTTCTAGAACAAAAAGAAGGAGACGAAAGATCATTCGAGAAGGTTCTCGAACCAAAGCCAGTCTAGTTATCTCATATACAGGGTGTTCATTTCAGGACTTCCCACCCTAATTTTCTCGAAATGTGTGTATGTTTTTGAAAAATCCCGAGACACGTCAACTACATTTTCGAGGGGGACATGGTTCTAAAATATTTTCAGCCCCGCGGCGTTGCCGCTTCTAACGAAAAGAAGCAACAACTTTGTTATTTCAAATGGAACACCCTGTATTTTATTGCATTTTTAGATTCTCCCTGAAAAGCTGATTTCATCAATGTATCACACTTGGGTTCTAGCAGGAATGATTACAGAGATATAGGGTGTTCAAAATCGAGATTTTACAACTTTAGGATTTTTTTGAGTCGAAACTATTCATTATTGGTCAAAACGGCTTTCATGTCCCCATCTAAACTTTTGATTTACTATCTACTGACATTTATTTGAAACAAATACAGGGTGATCAAAAGTCTGAATCTTGAACCACCCTGTATTTGTTTCAAATAAAATACCAGTAGATAGTAAATCAAAAGTTGAGATAGGGACATAAAAGCCGTTTTGACCAATAATGAATAGTTTCGACTCAAAAAAATCCTAAAGTTGTAAAATCTCGATTTTGAACACCCTATATCTCTGTAATCATTCCTGCTAGACCCCAAGTGTGATACATTGATGGAATCAGCTTTTCAGGGAGAATCTAAAATGCAATAAAATACAGGGTGTTCCATTTGAAATAACAAAGTTGTTGCTTCTTTTCGTTAGAAGCGGCAACGCCGCGGGGCTGAAAATATTTTAGAACCATGTCCTCCTCGAAAATGTAGTTGACGTGTCTCGGGATTTTTCAAAAACATACACACATTTCGAGAAAATTAGGGTGGGAAGTCCTGAAATGAACACCCTGTATATAAACGGCCCAATAACTGCCGTCAGTCAAACAGCGAGTGTCAGAGAGACAGTTATATACCGCGTGTTATAAATCGTTTTACATAAATAGTAGTTATAAGTTCGATATAAATTAGTGTTTCTTTAGTTCAAATAAATCAGTTCGAAAATAAATAGTGTCGTGTTCGCTTCTGCACCCGAATAACGTAACAATATCTTATATATTTATCCTATACTCTCTGCTGTCAGACAAAACAACGTTTCTTATTTGGAAAATCTAAACACTTTAGCTGCTGCTCTACAAAATATAAGTATTGTTGAGGCTAAGATTCTTTATGAGTGTGTTCATGAAATCATTAAGCTTCGTGCCTTCATTGTCAACGAATGAATTTGTTTTTCTCGGTCTCTGTTTTCTTATGCAATAATATAATATGTACCAACTTATACCACATAAATTGGCTGACCGTTCATAGAGTCCAGGTCCATAATGTTATTATTATGCTAACTTTTTTTCTTTCCCCTCTGAGGTTTGTAACGGGGCACATTTGTATTTGTATAATGGGCGAGTGGACTTATAATGAAATATTGGCATTCAATTATTCCACTGTGTCGTTAGGGACCTAAATTAATTTTTGGAACACTTTTCACACTTTTTTATGTAGATAATGAGTGTATGCGTTGTTCGAAATTGTTGAATTTCGGACCTCATTTCAAACATACCGTCATGGCCACTATTTGGCGATACGTCGAATAATCAGATAATCTTCCATTCCCACTCACGAAGCAAGGTTGTCAAGTCACCAATTATAATCAAGTTATCAAAAAGATGTAAGAGTCCTGTCGTTAAATAAAACATAATAGGAGGAACCCATGATATTATGGTTCATTCTTGACTCTTTCGAGCAACCAGCATGTCCAAATATTTCTAATACTCCATATCAAAATTTCATGCAAATTTTGGAGACTTGGCAACATTGTGCTGAATGCTGAGGAGGGACAAGACCACGCCCACAAGTCGTGCGCGCGGT